TAATTTTAATCTAATCACATCTCTGTCTCTCGCTCCCTGTCATATCAAGGCTTTTCTCTCAGCCATTTCTCTTGGGGATAAAGACAGACTGCTGCCTGTTCCCGCCTCATTCTCTAGTCTCTTCTCTGGGCAGTATTCACCCTCACCTACTTGCTTCCCCTGCCACAGGGCCTTTACGTGAGCTCCCCTCTGGTCAGCACTGCCCAGCATGGCTCCTTTAATTCTCAGGGGATTCTGTCAGTCCTTCTCCTGTCTGGGGTTGCAAGTTCACCTGTCCCCACCTGTCCCCACCTCTCCCACATGCAGGTTCGCTTCTGTTGGTTGAGTTGTTGGGGCCGATCCTTCCTACCAACCGCGTTCTTCATGAGGCAGTCGCTGGGTCGGACTGACTTACCTTTGGCTCCCTAGCAATTCCTCGGTGAACAATTGAAGAAGTAAGTGTCTGCCCCCAGGGAAGTGAGGAGAAGGCAGGAGTTAGAGCTCATGTGTCTGGACATCCAAGCCAGAGGGTTTCCCTTTTCACCAGGGACCCGAAGTGTCCCCCGGCGGACACTGGTGTTGCGGGGGGTCTGGGCCCCAGTCTTCAGGTCCAGTAACGGTAGCCTCTTCCCATCGTACAGTGTGAAAAAGTGGTCGGAGCCCTAACCGGTTTGGCTCAGTGGATAGAGCGTCAGTCTGCGGACTGAAAGGTCCCAGGTTCGATTCCCGTCAAGGGCATGTACCTTGGTTGCGGACACATCCCCAGTGGGTGGTGTACAGGAGGCAGCTCATCGATGTTTCTCCCTCATCGATGTTTCTGACTCTTTATCTCCCTTCCTCTCTGTGAAAAATCAATAAAATGTATATTTTTTTAAAAAGTGGTCGGAGACGGTGGAGGTAAGATATTAAGCAGCTCGTTTTCTGTCTCAGGAATTTTTATTTAACTTGTGAAACCTGCTGCTGTTGACTGAGATTTTGTTGTGAACATGTGTTTAGCCCACATGACATAGACATGTTGAGCTAAATTTGTAAGCGGTTGGTGGATACCCTGCAAAGCAAGCCACGAATGCCAGGTCCTCAGTCCTCCCTTCAGGCTCAGGAGACAACTACATTCTTTTCCATGGTGAGACTCTACCTGCCCCTGCCCCTGCCCCTGCCCTTTCCCCT